CTGCTGAGGTGTCTGCTTTCTCTAGGAGACCTATGGAGGTGATAATCCTTTCTGTATTGCTCTAGCTTAAGATCACTTGGCATCTTGCATATAATACTGGGCACCTTAATATGGAAAGACGTACTAGGAATTTGGAAGGAGTTCAGCAGCAACCAAGAGAGAAGGGGTCATGGGCACTGAATCATGTGGAAAGACTGAGATAATTAAGGAGGCAACAAAAATCCCTGTTGAGCAGAAGGAAAGGGTGGATGTAACTGTCCTGTGAAAGGCTGTAAGATCTGAGAGAGTTTTTTTAGGGAGGTGTAAAGAGGTGTAACAAGGTCTAGTTATGACAGTGTTCATCAGCGCAGAGCAGGCTTGAAGGGAGCATCTTGAAATTGAAAATCCATTTGCTTTTCTTGGAGGTTGTGTGTGAGAAGGGGCCTCTGGAGGTGCCTGCTCCGGGGATTGCTGCCTCTAGCTCCATCACCAGCAGACCTGGTGCCTTCTCTGAGGCTGCTGCCCGGCACAAAGCCAAGCACGGAGAGGAACAGCATTTCTCGGGGAGGGGTTCAGCATTTCTTTGATTTACTCACTCCATTGTAGGCCTAGAGGCTTGAAGCAGTTTGGACAAGGCAGCTCTTGAAACGGAGAGGAGAAACCTGAAGAGGGACTTTGCAAATGTGACAGCAGGCCAAGAGGAGAACAAAATGTGAGATCTGGAGGTACCCTGAGGAAGAGTGCAAGGTGAAATAGGTCCCTTCCACACCGAGATTCCCCATGTTTACAATGATTGCTGCTCTTTCAGTGAACAGGTAACTCTGGTTGGAGTTTGGGCACTCTTTAAGAGCCCTCTTCGAGGTGCTCCCACACAACTTGAGCAAAGTGTAGAAGCTGCAGAGCATCCAGCTCATTCTGGTTCGCTGCGGCCACAGCTTCTGCTTGTGCTCTCCCGTCACAGACAGGTTTCACCCTCAGGTTGCTGACGTTGGTGTTGCTGAAGTCCTCTTTTTACCTTCCACATCAGACCGACCAGGACTTCACTCTTCAGGCTTTTGCCCTGAGCTCCCAGAGAGGTCTGGGGCTGTGGCCGTGGAAGCGGTTGGAGGGGCAAGGCCTGGGGGTATAAGGCTCTTGCCAGGCGTGCGGCCGTGTCCTCGCAGGCGGCCGCAGGACAAGCACGTGGGGAGCAGCAGCAAGGGGAGACGGGAGCTCTGCACCCGTGTGCAGGGCACCAGCTGGAGACTGCACTGGAGAGGAAGGCACCAAAATTAGTCTGGGTTCTGTTCCACGCGTTGGGTACTGAGCTATGAATCATTAGGCAGCCCTATACACGGTGTCCGGAATAATGAATTAGCCACCTTCTGCCAAAAAACAAGATCCAGCAATGCCATTAGGGAAGGTTCTCGTTTTCTCTCTGCCAGGCACATACTGTCTCTTCCTCCTCTTCAGTCTGCAAGAACTGAGCCATCCTCTGCGATTCATTAAGCTAGAGGTCTAACCATAGCACCTCTGTGATGTCCGTGTGGCCTCGCGAGCCGGCGCTAGGAGCAGAGCTCCCCGGTGCTTCCTGGCAAATAGCTGGGCACACGTGTTCCTATTGGAGAAAATAGGAAGAAAAGTGCTAAAGCCACGAAATCAAAGGAGTTTTCCAAAATGTGCGTTCTTGGAGCTCTGATCATTCAGGAGACTCACCTCTGCTGAGAGCCATGTGGGCTGAGGAAGGCTTGGGAACAGACTAAATGAATGTGTGCCTGTTTCTCCTCCCACCGGAGAAACGCTGCTTTTCTAGCCTCCATTTAATGAGCAGTGCATAATTCAAGAGAGTCCTGAGGTATCTCAAGATATTTCGTATTTTTAATCTATTCCAAGCAACCTGTTTTCTGTGAAAACTGTATCAAATCCATTTTTATATCTTCCAGTTTTATGCAGGGAGCTTGCAGCTGTGAGTTCACCATCCAGATTGGTACTGTGGGCCACATGCACCCTCAGGAGCCAGGGCACAGACATTTGCATCCTGCAGGGGAGAATTAAAGCCAGGCCATTGTAGTTGTTCTCATAGCTGAGCACTTTGGTCAAAGATAGAAACTTTGAGTCTTGTTTCTGACCAAACAGAAAAAAAAGAGGGGAGGGGGAAAGTAGTTTCAGTTTCTGTACAACATGCTGTGTTTGAGCTCAACATCTTGAGAAGAGAGAGGAAGTCCTGGTCAGTAAGCACAAAATTTCATCTATTTGCATTTCCGAGACAAGGAGTCTCCATGGCCTTTTGCCAGCTGCAGTCTGGGCAAAAGACCAAGGAGCAAGTAGGCACGTCCAGATGAACAAGCAAGGTGCTCTGAGATGGCCCTCTTGCTTTGGAGGGACCATTTGTGTCCTCATGAAGTCCTCTACAATCCCCCCTCTTGTAACTTTTGATGCCTACCAGCCACCGATAGCCCCATGGCCTCATATGCTGCCTTCGTCCTCAGAGCAGCTGGTTTGTGAGGACGTAACAGGACAGCACCTAGTTCTGTTGACAGACCTGCCCATGTCAGACACCCTGCAGGCATTTCCCTTTGATGCAGATCCAAGTTCTAGGGCTGTGCTAGACCCACTGCCTTCAGCCTTGAGTTGCCTCCCTTGTGCACTTCGGCACACGCACTCTGCCCAGTTGGATCAGGAAAGTGGAGCAGTCTTGTTCCTCAAGGAGAGAGGTGCACGTCTTCCTTCCCCAGGCATCCTGCAGGGAAGAGCAGGGAGGGTGGCCAGGCAGAACCTCTTGTGGCCAAGGATCAGCAGGCCAGTGTGCACAGGGAGCAGGAGACAACTTACTGAAGCTTGTGGTTGGTTTGACCTGTTATATTGTGCTGTCGTGATGGGGTGCCGCTGCTCACGAGTCTCCCTCTGCTTTGTTTCACAGAGTGACTTGTGGTCTTTGGGGATAACAGCCATAGAGATGGCCGAAGGCGCTCCCCGTAAGTAGCTGCGCTGCTCTGTTTTAATTAACATTTGAATTGGGGGTTGCTGGGATCAGCATCAGCTGGCCCTGTACCAGCCAGCTCAGTACCAGAAACATTGTACGAGGGTTCCCCTGCTCCGAGGGAAGCAGAGGGACATCAGGGAAGCCCCATGGCAAAGGCAGGGTCCTGCTGCTGGTCACCATGACCCATGGAATAGGAGCTGGATGGTGCATGAAGACCCCAAACCACCATGTGGCTCCTGGCCAGGCACTGACGTGCTCTGCAGCTCAGGTCCCTCTAATAAAACAGAGACAAGATACAGGTGGGAGAATGGAAGCTCTGCTCCTGTGCAGTAGCATTTTGGTGGCCTCTTGGTGACACAGACAGCAGCACGCTGAATGTAGCTGGCACATCTGCATCGTTCATGGTGCCATATTTTTTGAACATTATGCTGGGACCTTTCTTAGCAGTAAATATAAGTAAGTAAAGCTGAGTGTAATGGCATGTGGTGCAGCTGTAACAGTGCTGGGGGCAGACACACTGTTTCGGTGGGAGAAATGAGCTTTCAGCTGTGTTTCAGGCCACCTCCAGCCTATGCCAACTGGCTGGAAGCATCTGTGGAGGGTAAAGTCCATCAAACCCCTCCTGTCCTGTACACCGTTCAACCTGGGTGCTCCTGGAGCCTGCCTGGGGGAACATGCAGGGTCTGCCACACTCTGCTGTGTTTAATGCCTCTTACTGCAACTTTCAGCTCTCTGCGACATGCATCCCATGAGAGCCCTGTTCCTGATCCCCCGCAACCCGGCCCCGAGGTTGAAATCCAAGAAATGGTGAGTCTCTTCCTCAGTCTTCCACTGCTGTAAAGCATTCCTGAAGCAACTTGTTTTTGCAGCCCGAGTGCGCTGGGGTGTTTATTTTGTTTACATTTTTACAGCTTCGAGGGCCCATGAAAGTGTCCAGCATATGGTGAGTGCAGGCTTGGGCCTTGATCTCCTGTAGAGAGTGATTTTGATGTGCACAGGTCACACGCTGTGGAATGGCAAGGCTGCTACATGGGCAGCCAGAGCAGCACTCTGACGTTGCCGTTTGCAGAGCAGAGTTGACTTTTCCAGGGTGGTTCATGCAGCCTGAACCACATGACACTTTGCTTGGCTCCCCTTTCTTTCCAGTGAGGTTCTGATTTCGAGTGGAAACGTGTATGCGTGCCAAAAAGGGATAGTTTACCTAGAAGGCCCAGGAATGCAGGGATTTGTATGTAGTTTGGGCTTTATTTTAAAATTTTGGAGGAAAAAATACATCACTGTTGGGAAAAAAATGAAAAAAAATAAAGCAGGGTATGCCAATAAAAACCCTTAGGAAACAAGTATTTCTGAAACCCAGCAGATGTTGTTTTGTTACTGTATGTTCTGTACTGATGGAGCAGCAGTCCTTAAAAACACTCCTCTGTGGTTGGTGCTGCCTGCCTGCCCCAGGTGCAGCAGCGATTTTGTCAGGAAAGATCTGCCACATGTTAGAGAGGCAACAGCACTGCTTAGTCCCAGATAGGTTGAGTTCATGGAGGTAGAAAGCACTGCCTTATTGCTTCAAATTTAATTAATTATCCCCATGAAGACATGCACAAAAAAGGGAGGATAGTAACCAGCAGGGATTAGAAATGCCAAAGTTCCAGGTATTTTGTTGCTGAGAGAATAGAGGAGCAAAGGGCTCAGAGGCATTTGTATCTGGTGGCTGGTGTTGGGGTTTTGGGGCCAGTTCCCTTGAAACTCTCCCGGGCTTTGACATTTGGCAGTTTGGTTGCCCGGGTCAGCTGGTTTGGTACAAAGCCCATACGAGATGTTTCTTTCCCCACCAGCTCTGCAATAGAATTAAATTGTTCTCTAAATAGGGTCCTTGCACAGCCTTTTTTTAGGATGCCATTAGTCAGAAAGCTCAGAAAATAGTTTGGACACTTGTTTTCTGCCACATCACCAGTTTCCTGCTTCATTATGCTCTGTTACAGCACAAAATGGATGGTAAGATGATGGAGTTTATTTTTCACACAACTGTGTTGTTTATTCAGCAAAGATTTTTCTCAGCCTCCAGAGAGAGGAGAAGGCAGCTGAAAAAAGCAGCTTTAATTTTGAACAGAAACATTTTCCCCATCTCTGCAAGGTAAAAACATAACTGGGCTGAAGCTTGTAATTTATTCCCTGCTCTAATATGTGCCTTGGATATTGTGAGCTGTTCTGAGGCAGCCAGAGGATTGCTTGACCCTCGTGCAGCAGGTCTGGCTGTCCCAGATTTGCACGTCTTAAGCTTTGCTTTTCTAGCGAGCAGGACGTGATGGTGGCACAGCTCAGCCCCGAGCAGACCTGAGGCATTTGCTGTTTGAATTTGCACCAGGCCTTGCTTATCTCCCTCTTTTCCAGCCACCTGCACCCTGACCCCCCCATCTTACATCGCAGCTCCCCACAGTTTGGGGCATCTGAAATCTGCGTCGCGGTTACGGTGGCACCGAAACTTGAGCAATTTGCTGCTTTTCTGAAATCTCCGTGGCAGTTTGCTGGCATTTTCTCTTCCTCACACTGCTGCCCCTGCTCATACCTTTGTGCAGGGTGATTGGGTGGCTTACGGGACTCGTAATCGGCTGCAGAGCCTTTCACTGCTGGGCCATCTGCTCAGGTTCAGCCAGGGTCCAGGGCGGCCGAGAGCCTCTCGGTTACAAACTGCGGCTGTGATATCTGTCCAGGCCGGGAGGTTCTGCTCGTCCTCCTGGACACACTTCCCCAGGGAGGAGGTGTGAGCAGAGGGGATGGGAATCTGCATCTGTGTGGGGGAAAGGTGCACGGTGCAGGAGAGGAGCAGCGAGACGCACGGGGACACTGCACTGCTGCCCTTACCCGGCCCCTGCAGCTAAAGCATCGGACCTGGGGAATGGCCTTGGAAAGCATAAATTGTTGGCTCTGGAGGGGTGCCAGAGCAGGAGGCTTAGTGGAAAATGGAGAGGAGGATTGTTTTCAAAGTCCTGGTTTAATGGAACTCCAGCTTCAAACTTCTCCCTGCTTTGCGAGTGTGCTACTCGCCTTGTCTCTGCCGCATCTCTGCGAATAAATAGAGATCTGGTCTCCCACAGAGCTGTGCAGAGCGTTCCCAAGGCAGCACAGAGCTGCATCAGTCTTGCAGGCTTTTGTTAAAATGCAATCTGCAAAAGATCCGGCTGGATTACACTTCCAGACAATACTTCAAGTCAATAGGAGTTCATGGGTTTCCATAAGAAGAAGCCTCCTCAGCTTTTTGGTATTTTCAGTGAGACACCGAACAAACTTGCTGTCTTTGACTCGGTTTGGGCCGGCCAGGTAGGTCTTGGAGCTCCGTGCAGCCTGGCCAAGGAGGCTCAAGATGTTTGTTCAGCCTCTCTCGGTAACTCTCCAGCAATCACTGTGCTGTTTTTCACAAGCACAAAGCACTAGAGAAAAGCAAGATAAAGAAGATTCAACGTACAGGGCCTTGCAGGTCAGCTCCTCCTTTCTGCATCCTGTTTTCTTCCAGTGGGACTCAGTCTATTCTTGCTTCTGTGTGCAGCAATGCAGAAAAGTGCATAAAAGTAGGAAGATCATCTTTTTTCTTACATGAAAGAAATAGTTAATTCACGCAAACACCTTTTAAGTTAAGCAAAACTCCCTGATAAGCAGCAGTGGGCATGGGAGCTGTCCCAAATAGAAGATCCCAGAGGGAAGGTGCTTTTGTTGCTTGTTGAAGCCTCGAACTTGCTTTTAAAAGAATGCTGTGTTTCTCTGAAATTAAAGATTCGTTGTATCATTTTTCTCTTCCAATTAAAATCAGCCAGCAATGAACCTTGATTTCCACCTTCCTGCAGTTCATAAGTAAAATGTAAAAAGCTGAACTTTAGTGATGCTGTTCCCATAAACATTTCATAACTCTGCCTTGTAAGAAATGACAGAACCTCTTTGTTAATGAAGTGGCATTTGCACTGTGATAGCACTTTTCATCCCAGCAACCAAGGAAGCTTTGCAAACATTTATTTAAGCTTTACAAACCCCAGGAGCTGGAGGAGGACTGGCTGTGTGTGTTACGTGGTTGGGCTGGCTTGCAGCAGAAGGATGAGACACTCGTGTAGAGGTATCGCCACGAACCAGAGCCGGGAGAAACGCGGCGGCTTGTTGGAATCACCCCGTTTTGGGGCTTTCCTTGTGCTGCTGGGTGATTTTGCTGCTCTTGGGCAGTGCCGACTCTGCCTGCCCTCGTGCAGGGTAATGAGACGGGTAGGTTTCGGATGGCAGCTGGGTGACAACCTGCACACTGCCACTTATGGGTGGAAGCCTTTCCAACTGCATCATTTGAACCTGTTTGCTGGAGCACTGGACTGTGCGTGCACAGCTGCCCTCTCCCCAGTCCACATCAACAGAGGAGAGTTGTGTCTTGCAAGTGGATTTTTGAGGAGTGTCACGTGGATTGGCCCTTCAGGAATACACCGAGACATGTTTTTTTTTGAGGCAAGGTGGAGAAGGAAGATTTGCTCATTAATAAAGCTGGAGGGAGGATTTAATTGGATCCAGCAGTGTGCTTTATTTTTGCATCTCAATTTGTATGGATTAACACTGAAAAGATAAATCACTTTTAGTCTGACAGCTTAAAAGTAAAATCCCCGAAAGCTTATTGTTTTATTCCTCAATGCAATTCTGTACTATCTGTTGGCTTCTGACATTAATTTACACTCATTTTTCTATTTGCTAAAGCAACATACAGTATAGTGGCCTGTCAACATCTTTCTTTCTTGCAAATCCCTGTTCTCTTGGGTTTATAATGTGGTGAAATTAGTTCCAGGGAAAGTTTTGATATGCAAAACTTGAGGCTAAGGGAAATTTGTTTTTTAAAGATTTGGATGAAATTGTTTCCGCAGCGGTTTAATTTAACTGTTTGCAGAAAGGGCCATTGGTGAGGACTGGGGTGGGGGGATCTGTCATCCACAGCGGGGTTCCTGCCACTGCCCTGGGAGTGGTGACAAATTGCAGCCGTTGGGACCCAGAGCAGGGGAGGCCGTGGCACCATGTGGGTCAATGGGAAGGAAAGGGGAACATTGCTTTGCATTTCCCTGGTGGCGTTTGGCTTTGGTGGATTCCCCAGTGCTATTGACAATTCCCAGCCTTCTCCAAGCTCAGCAGAACCGTATTTGTCACTAAGGGCACCTGCAAAGCTAAGGCAAGAGGGGCATGGATAGGAGTACACGTGGGAAGATGAGGAGCAGGTAGAGTGATTTGGGTCATGTACAGCAAGGTGGCTTTGAGACCTTGCTAATCATCAACAGAGAAGTTGCATGAATCCTCTTGGAAAGCTCCATCTGAGAAGGAATTGCATAGCAGCAAGTGTTCTTTTTAAATATCCATGAGTTTGTACCTTCTAATAGGAGAATTGATGCAGTTAGTTGTTTTTTCTGTCTGGGCTAGGTCTAAAAAGTTTCAGTCCTTCATTGAGAGCTGCCTAGTGAAGAACCACAGCCAGAGACCGACGACCGAGCAGCTGATGAAGCATCCCTTCATCCGGGACCAGCCCAACGAAAGGCAGGTTCGCATCCAGCTCAAGGACCACATCGACAGGACGAAGAAGAAGCGAGGAGAGAAAGGTGAGTGGGGCAGCAGCGTTATGGGCAGTGTCTGAGGCTTGTGGTGTATTTAGAGGCCCCTAACGCAGACCAAGATGGAGCTGTGCTGGACAAAGCGGAGGAGAAATCCCATGGGGATGCAGCATCTCTGCAGCATTGGCAGGGAGTGTGTTTTCAGGGCTGAGTTCATTAAGTGATGTGACTATATACGTTCTCAAACTGGTTTAGTCAAATAGTCCTTTTATTTGAACATTCTTGTTCTGGTTTAAGGTCGGGTTAATTTGTTTAAACTGAGTCCGCGCTGTCTTAACCAAAGTTGAAACCTAAATAAATATCTATAACAAAGCAAGTGGTGTTCAGACAAGGACTACATTATCATTATAGCTAATCAGCGTTGTAAAATCTTGGGTTTTTTTCCAATGAAAAGGGAATCTTATTTTTTGTGCAAATGGTTATTTCCACATGGCTCATTTGAGCTTTGAGTCATTGAAATGGATGCAGAAGATGTACATGTGCATATATACGTACAAGCATATGGAAGGGGGAACATGCGAAGCTAAAGTTTTTTCAGATCACGTGTTTTATGCCAAGTCTTTTATGTATGTGACGTTTAGGCTGCACCAGCAATGTGCTGTGAGCTGTGCAAACGAACATCTGAATAAGATCACAGAATAGTTGAGGTTGGAAGGGGCCTCTAGAGATCATCTAGTCCAGCATGGGACACAGGGTCGCATCCAGGCAGGTTTTAAAGATTTCCAAATCACTCTTTACCCTCACACTACTCCTGTTCAGTAAATATTTGGGGGAATACATGGCAAGATCACTTACAGTTGGACTTTGTGTGCCTTCTACATATCAAAATACTGCTTAAAACAAATGTTACGAATACCTAAAGCAATTTAAACATAATTAGAACAAGAAGAATCAAACAGCAATACTCTGGAGTGGGCCTACACACTTTGTTTCCTTTCTGAAATAAACTGATGGAATTGCATAAATTGATGGAATGAGAGTTGAATAGAGAAAAATATACCAAAAAGAAGTGGGAGGGCAACAAGAAGAAATAAACAGGGAGGTGAAGGCACCAGGTGGGGCCCTGCTCACATGGAAAACCATGTTTAGACACACCGTGAGGACAGACATCTGGAGGGTATGGACAGAAATGACCTCCCTGCAAAGCAGGGACAGGAACAGCTCTCAACTACTGCAGAAGATGTCCTAAAAAGGACCATGTTTTCCTTTTGATTGCATAACTCAAAACAATTCTACCTCCTTCCAATAATATTTCAGAAAAATACAGAAAACGTTCTGGAGAAATGTAAAGCAAGTGAAGGGCATTTCTTTGTAACCTCTAAGACTTTCCATATTCTATGAGATTCTCTTAATTTATCACTCCTAACATGCCTTTTTAACTTTCCTCTACTCTCTGTCCTACTCCCCCTGTTTATCCTCAGTCCTACTCACAGTGTTTACCCACAACCCTACTCCCCCTGTTTATCCTCGGTCCTACAGCTCCTGTGTACCCTAAGTGCTCCTTACTCCCCATGTTTACCTCGGTGCTAATCCCCGTTTTTACCCTTGGTCCTACTCCCAGTGTTAACTCTCAGCGCTACTCCTCCTGTTTACCCTCGGCCCTACTCCCAATATTTACCCTCACTGCTGCTCCCAATGTTTACCCTCAGTGCTATTCCTCCTGTTTACCCTCGCTGCTACTACCCCTCCTTTACCCTCGCTGCTATTCCCAGTGTTTACCCTCGGTGCTCCTCCCCCAGTTTACCCCTGTTCATACTCTCAGTGTTTACCCTTGTGCTGCTCCCCCTGTTTACCCTTGCTTCTACTCCCCCTGTTTGCCCTCAGTGCTGCTCCTCATTTACTCTCGGTGCTACTCCCCTTTTCCTGCGTTCCTACTTCCCCTGATTACCCTCAGGCCCATTGCCCCTAAGCAATGCCATCTACTAGGGATAATCTGTTTAACTGACTTTTTTCGGTGACCTCTCTAGTCTTTCTTGAAGTCTTCTGCAAGGAAGATCAGAGAGCTAAAGGAACTTTTTAAAGTATTCTGTTTCTTGTGAACTGAATTTTAATTCGGAAGCTCATTTGTAGAGTCTAGCCAATTAAGATATTGCTCTTTCTCTCCTTTTACATAGCAATGTTAATTTTTCATGTGTACCTTCCAGTTCTTTGTAACCGATTTCAGTACAATCAAAACAATAAAACTGAATCTTAGTTAAGTATTAAATGTGTTTAGTGTAGCAAATGAAGGTTTTACCCTAGAGATGGAGAGTAATTGGATAAATGCAAGCCTTCCTTTTTCTATCATTCCGTTCATCTGATAAAGAGTATATCCCAGTAGAAATCACAGTATGTAGCACAACACAGTAATTGAGCTTTTATGTAGATATCTTTACAGCTGGGAAAATATCGTGTGGATTTGTGCAGGAATGGTGGAACATGTTCAGGGAGAGAGAGGTTCATGCCTTCAGAACAGCAGTTAAATCCCACTATCCAAAGCTGGCGGCCCCAGGAGCTCGCTGAGTGTTGTGCCTGTAAGAAAATCTCTGCAGGAGGAGGCCACTCGTTGTGTTTGGTGCATTGGTACCAGCTTTTATTGAGCTGAGGATTTTGGCACCTTCTGTTTTTCCATCAAGCCCCTCCTGATCTGGACACCATTCCCCGTGGTGCTGGCGCTGGCAGGCGGCATTCCAGCGGGGACCACAGTCCTCTGCAAGCCCTGAAGGCTTCCCTGGCTTTGCAGCCTCCCCTAGGATCAGCAAATGGAGAGACAAAAGCTGGAGAACAATATTGGCTGTTTTTGGTGATGCTGGGGGGAAAAAGGGTTTTCAGTTCTCTTTTAGAGCTTTCGTGTTTCAAGCATCAGGAAAACCAATGAGCCCAGTAAAAGGCACTGAGAAGCAATTATGTTCCTAGATGAGACAGAGTACGAGTACAGTGGAAGTGAAGAGGAGGAGGAGGAAAATGACTCCGGAGAGCCCAGGTAAAAAATCAACATTTCATTTCTGCCCTTCTATTTTTTTAACTCTGTATAAAATTGGATTGGATTATATGAACTAGAAATGGAAAAAGAACAATTTGATCATCAAGCTCACCCCATGAAAGAACAATTTATCTCCCCTCTGTTAGATGATGAGTGGTATTAAGCTGATGCTACCGACTACCTTAGCCAAAAGGTTGGGAAGAAGCAATAACCCATTTTTTGTGGGATTTGTAATGCAGTCTGTTAATGTCCCAGGAATGCAGTGGTTGCCCATGTTCACTGATGGACAGCTCTACTTGGTGGCTTTGAAGCTGCAGTGGCCTCACAGGTGATATTTTAAGATGCAGGATCACTGTGGGATGCATATTTGATGGGAGACGGGACGACCAAAGCCCTTTCCCACCAGCACTGGCCTTTCCCCTTCTGGCATCCAAGGTGCCATCCAAGGTGCTTCATTTAAGCCAGCTCCGTATCCAGCCTGTTTTGCCAGAGCTGAATTTTCTTTTCCATATGATGATACATATGATGCAGCATAAGCTGCCTGCTTGAATATGTTGGCCATAACTGAGCAGAGCCAGGCTACTGTAGTCACAGGGGTGAAGAATCACTCTCTCACCCAGTACTTGCTGCCCAGCGTGTCAAGACGCTGATAAACATTTGTGGCTACTTGTGTGGATCTAGTCTCTAAAAACGTTCCCTTAGCTCTTTTTTTCTTTTTCTTTTTCTTTTTTTTTTTTGATAGACTGTGTGTGCAAAATGAACTGCTTGTGCAAATGAGCTTGCAGATAGCAAACTGCTTGTACAGAGCAAGCCACTTGGCTCCCATGTGCAAAAACTTGCAGATGTGTGTGCTCACATGAACTCTGCTGTGAGGAACTACACATGTGAGCACTTAGATGTGGGGGGAAAGCAAGCTGAAATCCAAGAAGAACCTTGAAAATATGATTTTTTTTATTTCCAAGTATAGCTCTGTATCTACGTGTAACTTTTCATCATGAAACCTTTCCAGTTGCTGCTGCAAGCATAATAGGGTTTTAATTCTTTTTCTTTGATGACTTTTTTAAGAGTCATTGCAATTAGCATCAGGTTATTCCATTATTTCACCGAGATAATGTAGTGTTTTAATAGCTGGCAGTGATTCACATAAAATGCTCCTTGTGCACAGCTAAATATAGTGTGTGCCACTGCAACATAAGAGACTTTGCTTAGAAACTTAGTGTGAAGGAAACCTTCAGCAGGGAAATGTCTGGCAAGGCTGTGAGGAGCAGGAGGGTTCTCTGCATTCCCAGCTCGCAAGCCAAGTCTTACGGCCAACAGCAAAGGGTTTGGGGGGAATTTCTTCAGAATTTCTCTTTTAGAAAAGAGTTGGGAGGAAAAGGTGAGGTGCATTTCATATCACAACAGACAGGGGTTGTGCTCTCCTGCCCAGACACTTGTGCCTCCTTCCTTGCCTCCATCCGCTGTTGCCCAAGCACTCCCAAATGGCTTATGGGGAAAGGAGGACAAACCTGAAAAACACCTAAATTTCTCCTAACAAGGAGCTTAAAGGGGTCTGTGGGAACTTCTATGCTGCTCCTCTCCCGTGCAGCTCCATCCTGAACCTGCCCGGCGAGTCGACGCTGCGGCGGGATTTCCTGCGGCTGCAGCTGGCCAACAAGGAGCGCTCGGAGGCCCTGCGGCGGCAGCAGCTGGAGCAGCAGCAGCGCGAGAACGAGGAGCACAAGCGGCAGTTGCTGGCCGAGCGGCAGAAGCGCATCGAGGAGCAGAAGGAGCAGAGGCGGAGGCTGGAGGAGGTAGGGGCCGCAGCCAGGCCGGAGGCAGCAGCCAGAGGTTGCGCTTGGGCTGAGTTTGAGGGACCTCTGATAACGGTTCCCAGAGGAAAGCAGCTTCGAACAGACCCTGTCCTCACCTCTCTGGGAGGTAACTGGCAAACCAGACCACAGTGATGCACTGAACAAAAGCCCCTCTTGATCCGTTACCTATCCTGGCTTCCAGCCACTCTCCTCACCGTGGTAGATAAGTGCTGCCAGCTCTTCTGAAGGCAGCGGGGTTTGCTCACTACAAATGAACCGCTTCAATAACAAACTCTAAAGGGTGACGGGAACTGCTGACCAGTCTTAGTCCGATATTGGTGTGGTTGTTGTGCTCAGTCTGCTTTGTGCTAAAATCCAGGTGAGCAAAACTCTAATCGGGCCAGGGACTTAGCAGGTTAGTTACCTTTATTTGTTGCCATGGCCTGTGACATTTGAGAAGAAGCTGAGGAGCTGCTGTTCACCCTTTCCCAAGTTCCACATACTGCTTATGTCCCCTTTAATCTCTGTTTTCAACTTCAGGCCTTTCAGTCTTTGCCAGTTACAACAGTTTCTCTTAGAGGAAGGTGCAGATTCCTGCCTGACTTGATCCATATGTGCCCTAAAGCATAAGATTTCATTACCTTTGTCCTAACATACCAGCTGCAAATACTATTGGTCATAAAATTATCCACTCCATTGAAAATCTGGCTGTGGTGTTTGACAGGGTGGCTTTGGGTGTCCCTGCATCACCCAGCCTGGCTGCATGGAGCGCTCACTTTGGTCTTAGCCTCAAAGACCTTGAATCAGAGAAGTCCACAAAAGAGGAAGGGGTTTCCCCTGGCCTTAGATTGCTGGTGTGGTTTTGCACAAAGCAGCCCATTGCCTCACGCTAAAGTCATCCCAAGAGTCTGGTTGAAGGGTTCATACATTAAGTGTAATTAAATTAGCCTTCCAAAGAGTTCACCGATATGTCTGGAAGAAGATTTGCACTAAATGGATTGTTAGAGCGGCCCCCTGCCCATAATTGGAACAAGCCAGAGAGCCTGCTAGGTTTAACCTAGATCTCCATACGCTTTCTGGGTTTCTGTGCAAAGGGTAGTACCCCCAGGCCAGGAGCCCAGACGGGGCCGAGCTGCAGGCAGCCGCCTGCGCGCGGCCCTTGGAGGTGGCGCTGCTGGAGCCCTGCGGGGCTAACGCCAACACGGGGCACGTCACAGGCCGAGCATTTTTCAGTCTGGTAAACATGTAGGTCTGCGATGCTGGCGGTGAATTGTAGGTCAGGCTTCTCCTCCCCTCCGCAGCGACAACGGAGCCGTGCTCAGAGAGGACGAGGCTGGCACGTGCACGCGCCTCAAATCCCTCACTCCGCTGCGTGTTTATCTAAGGACTAGTGTAAGGAAGTTGGGCTCTTGCAGCCTAAGCATGGGCTTGCTGCGAGCAGTATAGAAGTGGAACAAGAGCCGAATAAAAACAGACACCAGATTAGCTGAAATCCTGTAATGAATACAACACTTACCAGTGTATTAATATGTTCTCTTCGCATAGAAGAACGTCGCTCAACGTCGCTTGCTGCTTCCCAGGCAGGTTTTGAATGTAGGACTCTAATCCTCCTGCTAAGCCGGGTGAGCTCTGCCCGGAGCTTGGCTGTTTTCCCCTTGCCTTTTCCCCTCGTCATTAGAGGCTAATGTCCCCATACCCAACACTTAAAATCAGTGCTCTAAAAAAAAAAAAAAAAAAAAAAAACTCTTAGCTGCTGTAGGAAACAGAGAAATAGTAGTAGCAGTTTCCTTCTATTCCTTCTAGCCTGACTTTTCCTGCACTAACTTTACACTAACTTGAGTCAACTCTTGTCTCTGGAGTTACCCTGGTTAGTGGGAAGCGAATTTGCTCTGTGCCTCTTTACAGTTTGACTAAGAGGGCAGTGCAAATAGCTCTCATAGGCAGCACTGCACCTACACATCCCTGGGAACAGAGACCCAGGGAAGGTTTGGGTTACTACCTTTTTTGAAGTAAAGCTGACCTTTAAAACCCAGTGGAGCATCCGGGACAAATAAACACTCAGAGCACGTGGTTTTTGGGGCTCCTCGGGCAGCCTCTTTAGTACTGTCAGACGTGTCACTGTGTTTGCAGCAAGAGCTGTGACTCAGAGCAAAGCGCCGTGAACACGGCCAAGTTGCCTGAGTGAATCAGCGACACGCAAATGCAGTGCTAGAAGGATTGACTTAAGAGGATGCAAAGCTCAGAAGTGCCTGGAGTTCATTTGTATTGGAGATTCCGAGTAAATGAGTTGGAGGAAGACTAACAAATAGGGTAGCTAATCCATTGCTCTGCCAGTGAGGAACTTCTGTGGATTTTCTTTCGTTTTGTCCAGTCTTGTTTTTACATTATGCCAGAGAGAGAACCTCTGCCGTTTTTGTTTTCCCACCCAATAGGGCTTGCAACCGAGGAAGTCTTTTTTTTCCTCTCATCCTGATGTTCCTAAGCTAGGATTTCTGAACATTTCACAAAGCACATACACAAAGTACATCTCACTTTGGGGCCTTTCTGCCAAAATCCAGTATCTCATGATGTTGCTGCAACAGTAACATCAAATATATCCATAAGAGAGTAAAGGTGTCTGCTTGTCTGCATGTCTCAGTGGGGTGACTACACTGGCAGAGGTCCACGGGTTTATAAACTGTATTGGTCCAGAGATTTTGGTACCTGCTTTTGTTCTGAAAGGAAAGCAGGAAGGCCTAAGGGCAAAAGGGAGCTCCGTGGTAAGGCTTTCCTTCCCTATTTTTTGGGGAACAGCTGCAGAAAGTTCATCAGATAAAATCAAGATAGGCCCCAGAAATGACTGCAGAAAAATAAAAATTAAAGAACTAGGGAATATCAGTAGTTCAAATAGCACTAAGCAAATATTCATGTTATGCAGCATGGTGACTCGGCTTGACTATATTTTGATCTTTTCCTATATATGCCATCT